TTTGGATCAGATTCTCCTCTCCCACCACTGGTCAATCAAAACCTACAGAGACAGAAACACAGATCCAAACGTGATGTCATTCTAGCAGGAAGACAACAGTCGACCCACCAGAACCTCCATTTCAAACTCGTTGGAAAGACCAACTGAGTCGTACCGTTTTGCGATCTGATTTTGACAGGTTCACTTTTGCTGTTCTGATGAGATTTTGGTTCTGAAACTGAAATTTGGTCACAAATTTACTTGAGATCAAATCAACTCGCTTGGAGCAGAATCTGGATCACAGACAGTTTACAGTGTAAACACGGAATTGTGATCCAGAACACGGTCCAGACCAGTTTGTCTAAGAGGAACCAGAACTCCACCAGGCGGTCATTTGGAGACTCTGTGGCCAAGCATGTTCTGAAAGGTTCTGAGTCGACACCGGTTCTCTCTGATGCATCTGGCTGGAGGTAGCCGAAGTAAAGAATTTAGTTTTCCCTCTGTTGACCCAGTTTGCATCTTCATTGGACCAAAGGCTCCTTCAGCTTCAGCCTAAAAACCGGAATTTTATCAGTCATTAGCCCCATTTACACTAACCTCTGAAAACCGATCCGTGCCGAGCTCAGTTACTTATGACCATTTACACACCATGCTAGCACGGTTCCTCGCCTCCTAGTGGCTATCCGTGGTATTACTGCTCTCCAGAGGGAAACAAGCAAACCAAGATGGTGGCGCCGGTAACACTCAGGAAGTTTGCAGAGTGTCAGGCGATGAAGGCAGCCTTTGGCAAATTTACCAAACAGAGTCGGCTTTTGGGAAGTTGTTAGGACAAACGATAATAATAATAATCTAATAATCATCTAATCAGGGCTTACAGACGCAGGAAACAACGACAGACGTTGAGGTTCATCAAACTGCTAAGCAGAATCATTACTGGAAATTAGTGTTGCGCCGATGCCATTTTTTGGCCCCGATACCGATAGCTGGCTGTGCAGTATCGGCCAATACCGATACCATAATAATGTAAAATAATTGCCATCATTGCTTTGTCAAGCTATTTTATTATGAATGTTTCTTGTTAAAAAGATTTTTTTTACATTTAAGTCCACACATTTTATGCTTTGTGGTATTCTGCACTTTAAAGATTCATCTCGCTGGTCACTTTTTAAACACCACAATGTATTAAATAAATAGAAATGCTGGGAACCAATTCTTTTTTACATTTCTTTAATATTTTTGTTCTATTCAGCTACAGAAGCGTCCTCTTTAAACTACTAAGAATTGTACTATAAATCTGACTTTACCCGATTCTTATGTACACCGTAGTAATTTAATGATATGGCGCACAATGTCCTCCTTTTTGGTGCTATAGAAATGGCCCCCCTATGCGGTACTGTCTCTTTCATTACTTAAGCAAAGATCTGTTCTGAAAGCTGAAAAGAATCCAGATTATTATTGTGATTTTAAACAGTGTTTGGGTCCAGAGTGAACGGCTCAAACCGGATGCATTCAGACTGAACGGAGGTCTGATCTGTGCCGTTATGGATCCGGTCTGGTCGTCACACACATCCTCAGATGACCACCGCCAGCCTGGTTCCGGATCACAGCCGGCTCCGTTCAGGACTTCATAAAAGTGTTGCAGGAATGTTTGGGTCCAAAGTCGACACAGATTAATGAACTGGAGCAGAACTGGGCCATTCAACCTAAAAATGACATCTTTGATGTTATTTTTAACAGCTGATTCAAGTAATGTTTTTTTTCTGCTTTTAAATGAAAACATATCAGAATAAATGAGTTTTTAAAACTTGCTTTTATTTGTGGGAGTCGACCTGAATCCAAAGTGCACCTAAATCGGAGCCCTGAGTCATGCTTGTAAAACAAGTTGGCAGGCGCTGCCACCGTAAAGATGGAAATATGACACTAAGGCCCCGATCTTCAAAGGCTTTGTGTCTAAAAACACGTGTGAGGCTAAAAGCACGCGCAAAGCCTATCTATGTATCTATCTATGCATCTGTGACATCAGCAATAATGTCAGCTTTTCCACGTTTTATGATTTGAATTTAATCTTTTCACTTTAACTTTGTTTCTTTTATATATATATATTTTTATAAAAATAATATATATCTTTATTTATATTTGCAGTGCTGAGATATTTGTTTTCAAAGCCCCCAACATACATTAGTGAAAACAAATCCTTGTTATTCTAGAATAGAATTCCAGAATAGAATTTAAAATCCTCCTTCTCACATATAAAGCCTTAAATGGCCAAGCTCCATCTGATATCAGAGATCTGATTGTTCCTTATGTTCCTAACAGAGCACTTCGCTCTCAATCTGCAGGTTTACTAGTGGTTCCTAGAATTTCTAAAAGTAGAATGGGAGGCAGATCTTTTAGTTCTCAGGCTCCTCTCCTGTGGAACCAACTACCAGTTTTAGTCCGTGAGGCAGACACCCTGTCTACTTTTAAGGCTAGGCTTAAAACTTTCCTTTTTGATAAAGCTTCTAGTGGCTCAGGTTATCCTGAGCTATCTCTATAGTTCTGCTGCTATAGGCTTAGACTGCTGGAGGACATAGGGACCCCTTTTTCATCATTTTGCTTCATTCTATCTCTATTCTCCCACTCTGCAGAATCTGTTAGTTCAATCTCTAACGTTCTGCTTTTTCTCATAGTAGCTTCATCTGGTCTGTTCCTGTTTGGCTGTGACTCCATCCTGGAGAGAAATATCAGCTGTGCTGCTGCCATCAACACCTTTGTTTCTAGATGTTGGAGCTTGGCCTGTTTTCCAGTGTAGTCCTGTTTCTCTGACTGTGACTAACTGGATGTGCTCTCTTCATCCTCTCACATGGGAGCTGGCTCGGAGCTCGTCTGCCTGGCTGTGTGTTTCCTGGACGGGGCCGCCTGTGGAGCTGGTTGACAGTTGCCTTTTGTATCTATGCTTCTTTTTCTATGTCTGCTTCTGTCTCCTTGAACCCCAGTGGGCCTCAGCAGATGGCCGCTCACACTGAGCCTGGTTCTGCTGGAGGTTTCTTCCTGTTCAAAGGGAGTTTTTCCTCTCCACTGTCGCTACAAGCATGCTTAGTGTGAGGGATTGCTGAAGAGTCAATGAGTCGATGCAATCAGCTGGTTTTCTTTAGATAAAAACTTTGAATCAATCTGACTGGATGATCTGGTGAACTGGAAAGTGACCTGAGATGACATGATGGGAATTGGAGCTATAGAAATAAACTGAATAGAATTGATTATCTCTGACCCATGTCCCCCGATTACTAGACAGTGTCATCTAAGCTAACTTACTAACCCGGCTACTTTTTGTAGAAGTAACTAATAACATTCCTAAAACTGCAGGCTTGTCATATCGACAGTGCAGGAATGAAGCAACAGCTCCTCCTGAAATAAAGAGATTGATGAAAGATTTTCTCTTTGAGGTTTAAATTTTATTTACAGAAATATTTGATCTTGTGATCTGAAAATAGTCAAACTAAAATAAGATGCTGAGTGTAAACATTTTCCCAAAATGTTTTTTTTTACCATAATCAGCCTCAGCAGATGGCCGCTCACACTGAGCCTGGTTCTGCTGGAGGTTTCTTCCTGTTCAAAGGGAGTTTTTCCTCTCCACTGTCGCTACAAGCATGCTTAGTGTAAGGGATTGCCTGATGCAATCAACTGGTTTTCCTTAGATAAAAAACTTTGAATCAATCTTACTGGATGATCTGTAAAGTGCCTTGAGATTATGTGTGTTGTAAATTGGTGCTATAGAAATAAACTGAATTAAATAGAACCAAATTTTTATGAATGGATAAATTCAAATGACTGTATTTTAACCCAAAACTGAAGAAGAACTGAATAAGTCCAGTTCTTCTGTTTCTGACCTCAGAACCTGAATCCCACCTGGGACTCAGTCCCCGGATCAGAACACAAACCTGTCTGGATTGTCCAACAGTGATCCCAAACACTTATGAAAACTCTCTGATCTAAGGAGAAATAAGGTCTGAACTGGAAGTGAAGCAGTTCATGTTGAAGCTGCTGTGATGAACTTTGAACATGAACAGGTTCAGTTTCTGTATCTGAATCATTTCCCAGGCTGACCCTGAAATGAAGCATGTCTTCCTTCAGCGCAGGGTTTGTTTATTGGCCCCAACAGGCTCCCATACTGCCGCCACAGATTAATAACCGAATCCAACTGATGAACACCTGTTCCTACCTGAGCTCCTCTCTGTCCTCCTCCTCATCCTGAAGGAGGCTCTTCCCAGTCGGGAGATCCTGCGGCTCGGATACCTGTGAAAAGAAATCCCGCAGGAAGTGCTCAGCTGTCAGACTCTCAGGTGAGGCCACCTGTCAGATACCGGGGATCCGCCGCGTGCACGGAGCGCGTGCACCAGACGGGGACTGACGGAGAAAACAGAGGAGCTCCTGCTGCTGGTGAGGATCCTGCTGGACTGACCGGGAGGCAAAGAGCGGAGAGCAGGGAGGGAGGGAGGGAGAGAGGGGAGGGGCCCAGAGAGGGAGAGAGAGAGGAGGGAGGGGCCCAGAGAGAGACATGTCAGACTCCTTTCCTGAGTCAGGAAGAGAAGAACAATAACAAGAGCTCCTCTGACCCCCCCATTGGGCCCCAACACTAATATTCTATCATAATAGGAGAACCAATAAAAACCTGCTGAGAGCACTGTAACAGCACCCCCTGGTGGATGGATGGAGGAGCACAGCAGGAGGGAGGATGGATGGATGGATGGATGGATGGATGGATGGATGGATGGATGGATGGATGATAGATGGATGGATGGATGGATTAATGAATAAATGGATGGATGGATGGATGGATGGATGGATGGATGGATGGATGAATTGATGATGGATGGAGGATAGAAGGATAGAAGGATAGAAGGATGGATGGATGGATGGATGGATGGATGGATGGATTGAAGGATGGATGGATGGATTGAAGGATGGATGGATGGATGGATGGAGGATAGAAGGATAGAAGGATGGATGGATGGATGGATGTTTGATGGATGGATGGATGG